CCAGAGCTTTGTACATCTTTAAGGAGGGGTGGTGCATTTTTTTTCTCCATTGTTTCAGTCTCATCTTGAGAGAAAATATCTTCTTCTGAGAGTCCCCCATATCTTTACCAGACACCTCTCTCCCATGCACAGGTGGGAGAACTTGTTTTGCAGGACAAACAAGAAAACAGACAAACCAGGATTTCAGAGCAAATCATTCTTACATGCTCTCTTATGAGGCCGGTCAAACAAATTCTTCTTTCTGTACAGGGTTAAGAGGTGATCTTTTCCATCCTACCCACATTTTCTCATCAGCTTTTCTCCATCTTCCTAACACTGACCCTTGATTTCTCCCTGTTGCAGTTCTGTAAGATGACAAAAATTGAAAAAAAAAATCAACAAACCAAACCTAACTAACTGTTGGAGAACCCGAAAGGGACTAAAATAGCTTGGATGAACCTGAGAGTGAAGCCCTGTGTCCACAAGTGGGCTTTCTCATGAAGCTGGGAGGGTTGCAAGTGGGGTGCCCACCACCAGGAGGCAGGGCCAGCCCCTTGCCCCCAGCACTGCCAGCACCAGCCTGGGGGCTCTGTCTGGAAACCCACCATGAAGGCGGCCGGTGCAGGGAGCACCCTGGGGTGCTGGGCCAGCTGTGGGAGGTGGCGAGACCACCCTTCCCAAGTGCAGGAGGCAGCTTGCGGCACTGCATTTCACAGGCCAGCCTCGCATTTGTGTCCTCTCAGCCGTGGGGCCGCCTGCGAGGTGCCAGCCAGGCCGAGGGCGGGCCCAGGCGGGCACTGCGAGCCGTGCAGGGCCGGCGGCGGGCGGCAGTGCTGCTGGTGGCCGCCACAGTGCTGCTGGGCACTGCCGGGGGGCTGCGGCATGGCGGGTGGCAAGTGGTGGGCACCCCACTTGCAACCCTCCCAGCTTCATGAGAAAGCCCACTTGTGGACACAGGGCTTCACTCTCAGGTTCATCCAAGCTATTTTAGTCCCTTTCGGGTTCTCCAACAGTTAGTTAGGTTTGGTTTGTTGATTTTTTTTTTCAATTTTTGTCATCTTACAGAACTGCAACAGGGAGAAATCAAGGGTCAGTGTTAGGAAGATGGAGAAAAGCTGATGAGAAAATGTGGGTAGGATGGAAAAGATCACCTCTTAACCCTGTACAGAAAGAAGAATTTGTTTGACCGGCCTCATAAGAGAGCATGTAAGAATGATTTGCTCTGAAATCCTGGTTTGTCTGTTTTCTTGTTTGTCCTGCAAAACAAGTTCTCCCACCTGTGCATGGGAGAGAGGTGTCTGGTAAAGATATGGGGGACTCTCAGAAGAAGATATTTTCTCTCAAGATGAGACTGAAACAATGGAGAAAAAAAATGCACCACCCCTCCTTAAAGATGTACAAAGCTCTGGTTTTTTATTTTGCCACAATATATTTTCATTTCAGTGGCGTATGTGAATCCAAACTCTGAGTGTGAAGGGCTGAGGCATTAACTAAAATAAACTCAGGAGTGTCAAGCTTTACAGCAAACCTCAGAACTTGGAGAGAAGGAAACAAAACTCAGGAAAAAAAAAAAAA